GCCACGTGTCAAGTTCTCATCGTGCGCATCCTCTTTTATATAATAAGATTAGTGTTAATTTCCTTATAAATAAATGAAAAATTAGATGTAAAAAAAAAGGAATAAAAAATTAAAATCCTACTAAACTTTAAAACAAGTTATTCCAATGCGAATTGTTTTTTTTTTTTTCGGCAATGCGAACTGTTAAAAAGGTGAAAATGACTTTTAAATAAGTTAAACTCAGGTAAGAGTTTGAACACAAAATCAAAATTAACGTGGATTAGCAGTGATGCCTTTGTGAATCGCATGGAAAGTAACCTATAAACCAACAAATCGCATTGAATAATTTTTTTCCAAATTTGTCCTTTGAAATTATAAGTAGTTAACTATCACTACGTTCTGAGTAGTGATACAATATTTTCATATGTATAAAATTTTCATATTATTCATATGTATAATAGTTTAATAGGGATCTCATTCTGAATTTACGCCCATTTAAGTGAAATATTTTTTAAAACCGCATTCACGTTCTAACGTATAACTAAATCCATCTTATCCTAAAAAGATTAATGTTTTTGGTATCTTTGGAGTAACTTGAATCTCTTCTCTAATCACATCATCTTCTTCTTATCATAGAGTTTTGAACCATAATCTTGTGCTGCTCCTTCTTTTAAATTTGCCGGAGTTTACTCACTTTTTGGGTTTCACTTATTTTGAAGTTGTCACTTATTACTGGTTAAATGACAATCACCATTATTTGCATAATTTTTAGAAATATGATATTGATTGAATTCTTGAAATTTTATAAATGTGGTATTTTTGTAGATAATATTTTAATTCATGAGATTTAAAAATATGTAGAGAAATCTTTGATCAAATATATGTGGATATATCTATATCATAGTTATAGATATATTCTTTTGAATATTCTCTATATATATGGTTGTATCTTTTATAAATTTATTTGTGTAGTTTATACTTAATACTATTATAAATAAAAAATATTTTCCAAAAAGAAAAAAGTTTATTCATATTTGAGTAGTTATGTTCTTTGACTCACTATTTTTTTTTATATCTTTTCCAAACCTTATTTAGAATAGATTTATTTTGGTATCACATTATATGAAAACATTATCATTCAAATAAATGTGGCTGGATTATAGTTTCGGGAGTACATCGTATACAAAGATAGATTCCGTAAGACAAACCATAGACCATAGTATCATCAAAGTCAAGAACAATTATAAAGCACAACAACAAATAAAGAAACCACCTTCTCAAGAATCCCTGACCTTTTTGGGGATCTCTTCAAATTCAAACATTTTGTCAACTTTAGCTTGATTCGGTCATACTCGCGAAGAACATCTTTCAAGTATCCGTGAGCTACAATCTCTTCGAGGATTTTAATTTTTTCGGGTCTTGTTATGGTCCAATGTGAAAAGTTATATATTATTTGAAGGAATAAAAAGTGAAAAGATCGGGATAATATCAACGAAAGTATTTGACATCTATTGTTGTTAAATCAGCTCCAAGAAGATATAAGTTACAAAGCTTATATAGACATTAGTCAAACATCCAAAAACGTTTGACCATTATTATAATAATGRTCACCATCATTATTAAAACGTTTGAAACATCATCACCATCATTTTCTTTTGCATGAAGATATTCATCGACAAACTCTGTAAGTGGAGGCTATT